TTAAATAGTTATCAAACCCCCATACACATGAGCACATAAACGCTGAGATATGAGATCGAGATCTTAATCTTGTATTACCACTGGCCTACTCTTCGAAATCTATCATGACAGAAATCCGATGGTCATACTTACCCGGGCGTGCTTCCAAAATTATCTTCTCAGTTTGGGTAAAGTTTTCTGTACACCCTGTATAAACAGTTTAGCTCATTACAATGTTACCATAGTTAAATGACTACAATGTTTATTGTATAGCGTTAAACTGACCGGATATTTTAATCGATGCGCTTTATCGGACCATATGGCAGTCAATGCACTGCTCATTCACCGTAAATGGGTGAGTCATTTCCCAACACTTCATTTTCGCTGCTTTCGGATAAAAACCCGTGCGCTGACACAGCTTTCCAGAAACTACGAGTGTTATCTTTTGTTATTTCTTCTGTTTAATTTTAAACTACATAATTACCGGGGTATTTTTACTGTCCGATAATTCGAGCAAGCCGCTCGTATTTCCTCCTAAGAAAATGTTCCCCGATGCTATGATATGTCCTTCTTTAAACGAGGCTTGTGGATAGTACTGAATGGTAGGCAACGGCTTGTCTCTGCCCCTGGCATCGCTGAAGTCTATGGGCGACGGTAACCACTCATCATCAGGTGGGCTCGTTTGCCTACAAGGGCAATAAAGAACCAAATCTAAAAGCTCGCTTGGAGTTAGGTCATTGCGATAGACCATTCTCCAAGCAAGTTTTACTGGTGGTAGGACCTCTTGTGAGTCCGCGCGGGTAGATACCACCACCCTGCCTATTTCTGCCGCGAAGCAGTAATGCATTTCGGTTTGAAGGGCGGGGCAGTCGTTGTAACTATACTGAGACCTTAGTCGGCCCATCTAAGCAATAAAAAAAAAGCGATATATGTATGTAACACACTTTGACTCGGTATCTGCCGCACCCGGAAACATTAAATTCCGGTAGACGAACCGCTGGGTCATGGCGTCTCTGGTATTTTTAATTTAATGCATCAGCGGACAAATGTCTGTGGTCCGTGAGATTAACTCGGTTCACTGGTCGTATTGTTTTAAGATGTCACGCTTAACGGGTTTACGTATAGGCTATGCCGGACAATAAATGTCGCCTCGCTCATGGTATGCTTAGTGGCTTCGACTGGTGTTTGTCACGGTTCGATTCTCGATCAGAGTCCAGTGCGTTTGTGAAATAATAAGTTGGGGAAAAAGTTTCTTCGTATTTTTAAGAAAAAACATTTTGTAATATAATTTATTTACATTTAACTAAAGCATGTAGGTACCATTTTGTTCGATAACTTTTTGCCATCATGTATCCCATTGCCAACATGATCCCATTGCTATAGAAATTTTGGGGCTTCTGATCAAAATACCAATTGTCGCGCAATTGGTTTTGGCAGTCCTCTCGTGATGTTAACCTGACACTGACTAAAGAATTCTGAAGAGACCGAAACAGATGGAAATATGAAGGTGCAAGGTCAGGACTATACGACAGATGCATTAACACCCCCCAGCCAAGCTCTCTTACTGTGTGCTGAGTGGCTAAAGATGTGTGAGGTCTATCGTTATCATGATGAAAAACCACACCCCTTCTGTTGATTAATTCCGGCCGCTTTCTCTCAACTTCTTGCTTTAATCTCATCATTTGTTCGCAAGAGAGTTCAAAATCGATGGTCCTGTCTGGTGGTAATAGCTCATAATGAATAATGCCCTTCCAATCCCACCACACACACAGCATCACCTTGTTGCGAGTTAACCCGGATTTCGCCACAGTCTGTGAAGCCTGACCGGCCTTTGACCACGACCTTTTTCGCACGTTATTGTCGTACGAGATCCACTTTTCATCACCAGTTATTAGTTTCTTCAAAAATGGTTCGGTTTCATTACGTCGTAATAAAGGATCACAAATCAGTACACGGTTCATTAGGTTTCTTTCAGTGAGCTCGTGAGGTACCCAAATATCGAGCTTTTTTGTGTACCCAGTTTTGTTTCAAATGCGCCAAAACTGTTTTGTGAACAATTCCCAGTTCTTCAGCTACGTCGTAACTACTGATATGCCGATCTTGCTCCACTTTTCCAAAATTCCATCAATTTCATCCGTAATAGGGCGACCAGAGCGACGTGCACCTTTGACATCATAATTTCGCGATTGAAAACTCTTAGACCAATTTGTGCTACTCCCACAGACACTACACTATATTCGTATATTGTATATTGTATGTATTCGTAACTTAGTATAAAATTTCATTACACCTACCACTATTTACTCAGCACTACCTTTGGTTGACTGGTAGAGAATGCCTTAGGCATTAAGTCCCCCAATGTAAATTTTACATGAAGTGTAATAAATAAATACACTAGGTCCATAAACATCGCAAAATTTATGTCGCGGCTTGCGTTGCATTTTTAGCATTTTTGTAGTAAAATTTTAAAATGTATCGAATTTCTTCATTAAATTCACTCATCTTGACAGTACGAAAAATACATAAAAATCACACATTTTCTTTATTTGAATTTGGAATTATCTTCTTTAAAATTTAAACTTTTAATGATACCAAAACCAGCCAGATACAAATAGTACTTATAGCCAAAGAGATTTTATTACAAGTTCATACATAATAAAATGCGAAAAGACTTTTTCCCCAACCTATTATATTAAACTGAGTAAAATAACTGAGTTACGTAAGTGACAAAAACCTTCAAACGTATGAAATTATTAGGATTCCGTAGTGAGCGCTTACGTAAGTACCTCACTATGCCTTCGTTCAGAGGGCCGCCGTTTCTTCAACTGGTTCCATAGAACTCCGATTCGACGCGCGTTCTTAAATAGAAAGTCCTAGAAGTTACTACTCATTACCGCGTTCGATGTGAACATAGATTACACAGCTATAGACATGACTTACTTTGATTTTTTTTTTTCTTTAGATGGGTTGACGAGCTCACAGACCGCCTGGTGTTAAGTGGTTACTGGAGCCCATAGACATCGACGTAAATGCGCCACCCACCTTGAGATATAAGTTCTAAGGTCTCAAGTATAGTTACAAGTATAGTTATATTTATTTATTTATTTAAAAAAAGTACTGCCTCATCACAAACATTTAACATTGAAAATAACTTTAACCATTGAATTTATGTCCTGATGCATGTGACAATAATGGCGTACATAATAGCATTGGTAATTCATGAAGATGGAATACGATAATTAAAAAAAAAAAAATACCTAATGAAAACACACTTTGAAATTGAAATTTAACAAGTAATACAGTAATAATTGTTGAAATATAATAATATTAATACGCGAAGCAAAAACTTTGTACCCCTTTTTACGAAAATTGCGCGGACGGAGGAGTATGAAATTTCCCACACTAATAGAGAATATAGAGAAGGAGTGCAGATTTTGTAGGCAGGGATTTGGCTCTGCCCTCTGGCATTGCTGAAGTCCATGGGCGACGGTAACCACTCACCATCAGCTGGGCTGTCTACTCGTCTGCCCACAAGGTCAACATAAAATTGAACATATTTTTTGAAGTAGATAGATTTTTTTTATTGTCCTTGTAGACAGACGAGCATACGGCCCGCCCAATGGTGAGCGGCTACCGTCGCCCATGGACTTCAACAATGCCAGGGGCAGAGTCAAGCCGCTGCCTACCGTTAACTTCTAACAGATTCACAATTTATTTTTTCGTTCTGAGCTCACGAGAATCAAAACAGCTCTGCCCTTCAACATCACGTATTATAACATTGACCTTGATATAAACAACAGCTGTTTAAAAATGTCATAATAAATATATTTGTCGACATTCTCGACCAACGTGAATTTATTCGTGGAATATGAATACGTCGTATAAACCGCTAATAGCTTTATACAAAATAAACCTTTATCGTGCAAACCATAAGGTATCAAATTATCACACTTATTGCAGTTGTTGTGTTCATCTATCTGGTACTGGAGTGTATCAAACTAACTTCTACTGGCTATGTAGTAGTAGTTCTATTTTTTCCAACTGAAAAAGCAAAGGTGTCGTAGCAAACAGCGTATTATTTTTTTTTTTTTAAAAAGTTTGTAAAAATTTGAAAATATTAAATGAAATTGATTAATTTGGAACATTAATCAATTGGCATAAAATGAAATGAGATGAGGTGATATGGGATGAAATATAATCTCAGTAAAATTGTGGTTATTTACTGAGATTTTTTCAGTGAACTTTTTGGAGGATTCCTTGAAGCTACGTCTAGTGGTTTTGTTGCCACATTTTCCCACATTTGTGCACTTTCACAGATACTAAACAGTTAATAAGCTACCGTTATTACAGAAGAAATACTAAATAGTCAAATTAAAATAATTCACACAACTTCGCTTTTCGCGTTCCCGCCAAAATGTCCTTGTAATGGCTAACTGATATACTACGATATTGAAACTTCAACGCTTTCTGTTCTGGGTTACGCGTTGTTGTCTATAGACCTCAGCATTAATGCTGATGTTTTTACACTTGTTTTATTTTTTACACGATAGTCAATTATAAGCTCCGAGCTTTTCTGGGAAGGAGGGACCGTTTTTGGTGCGGGACCCGGTCACAGTCCTCGCCGAACCTGTCACTTGCGACGAAGGGCTCGACGAGTAAATTAGCCCACAGACACAGCCCACTGAGTTTCTCGCCGGATCTTCTCAGTGGGTCGCGTTTCCGATCCGGTGGTAGATTCTGCGAAGCACTGCTCTTGCTAGGGCCAGTGTTAGTAACACACCCGGTTTGAGCCCCGTGAGCTCACCTACACGTCAAGGGGAAGCTGAAATAGCCTCTCAAAGCTATCAGTAAAGGTAGTGAAAAAAAAAGGTGTGGGACCTTGAGCTATTCCGCGAATATCTACCAATATTTCCATGAAACCCTACTGCCGTATTACATAATATACTTCATATATCGAAATAAAACAAAAAAAATCGGATACAAATTTATTCAAACAACTTATAATAATTTATTTTGTGATATTTTATATTATAATGTTACTACAATGTGAATGTTATTTTAATTTTTATGCCTCAATTTAGGGGTTTGTTATTAATTATTATTAATAATTATTGTTTAAGATTAAGTAACGCTAGTGACGTAGAATTGCCTATTATAATAAATAAAGATTAAAACTAAGAGATTAATTTAATACAATAATACATCGTAGGCTCTTCGAATCATGTAAAGGATTCTGTAATAGGAAACAAGACAGAATTTATTTATTTTATTTCAAAAAACGCATCGCAAACTTTACAATACTCCACTGCACTTAGCCGAAATCGCTTCATATTTAATTATGAGTGACGTCATTTGGGGCTAAAATCAACTATGACAGATCATGTTCAACAATCAACCATGATTTACCTCAGATGCTTTGGACTCTTGTTTAGCTTGCCAAAAAATTTTACAATTCTTAGATTAGTGACTACGATTTAGATAATTGAATTATATGTCATGTTGCCCATTACAGTAATCTAATGTGGGATATAGAATTCGGACACCTTCTCCCTGTGAGCTTCAGGGCGAGTGTTCTGTGAGCTTTGAGCTCTAAAGGTAGAAAACCATACAAATAATTATAATTCTTAGCGAGATGTATTGCATTACCAAGCTATTCCAAATAATAACTGATTATTCTAATAAGTACTGTATTTTATGATAGATTAACTTCACTAAACACTGGTTTAGTGTTAATGTTTATAAACATTTTATGTGTATTATTTTAAGAGTGTTGAACCGTTCGGTTTTAACTGTAAACTTGATTTATGAGAGGTACGGTGTAATTATATCTAGGCTAGATAATCTTTCGAAGATCCTTACGTGCCTTTGAACGTGGGCCAATATTTACATCAGTCACCGTGTCAATAGATATTTTTTGTAGTTTAATGTAGAAGATAATTTAATTGGACAATTATTAATTGAAGACAACAGTAATTATTTTCAATTGTTTTTTAGTTTACGAAGGTACATTGACTTTCAGAAGAAGAAAAAAACGGTCATTCACATTATTGGACAAGGCAGTCAATAGTGGCATTATAAAGAAATAAATTAGATATTATATCTTCAATTATACTATCTTGTTTATGTTTAAATGCAAACAAAGACACTTATTTCATAAAAATCTAATTAATCTAATTAAAAATACTTTTACGGTTCGTTTGAACTCGCGATTTTTTTAGCTACTGCATTATTTCCGATATTGCAAATTCATAACAGTTTTCGCGGCTTTAGTTTTCCGTAAAATTAGTTTTAATTGCATCTACTACCGGCGAATCCCGAAGAAAATACTATAAGGATATATTTTTAAGCAGTAGCATTGTACATGAATATATTTTATTGTTAAAAATAAACAAGACTGCCATCGTCTTCCTAGTCATAAAATGAGATATTTCAAAATGAATAAATTATTTAATGTTTAATAAATATTTTTCAATATGTTATTCTTGCGTTTTCTTTCTGATTTTTCCCTTCCATATCGTAAAAAGGATACATCAATATTAAAATCTACAATCTCTTAATATTTAAAAAAAAAACATAAATAAAAGTTTAATAAATAAATATTTAGTTTATTTAGATATAAAAAGACAATTTTAGAATACTTTTTCTGTGAGTAATTTATTTAAAATAGTTAACTCAGAATTAGTGAGTTCAAGATAATGAAAAACTAGATTTTATCAACTCTAAAGCGACTTTGCTAAAAGTGAACCTGATGATTTACGTTGGCGCAAAATGATAATGGAATGTGAAAATATTAATGTAAAAAGTAAGCTTTTAAAAAATTAGTAACACATGTTTCTGTCATAAATAGAAAACTAAACAACGAAATACTACGAGGAAAACTAATTTAAAAACGCAATTGTTTTTTAAATAAAAAAAATTTAAGTATTCTTTATCTACACTAGGTACGAAAGGTTGTAAGTTCACATAAAAAAAAAAAAACACAAAAACTTTGTGATGATAAATAATATAGTAACAAAAAAATAATACTTACAGTCCAACACTAGCTTTACGCAACAATAACATAAATAATAAACCGAGCGTTCGGAATAAACGACTTTTAAAATAAACTTTAGTTGTTAACACACAAGTTGTACATTTTTATCACACGACAATTTTATGAATAAGGTACAGCGTACGTTCCGGAAAACAAAATGAATTCAGTTTTCCTTTCCACTATCATATAAGCGAAGGGCCGGTTCGCATTAAACATTAATGTCTCATTTCCACTGATGATGAACTCGGCGGTTCCGTGAGCCTTAACACCTTTCTCGGTCACGGAAATCTCACAGATTTGCGTCATCAAGGACGCATAGATTTTGTAGTCACTGATGCCCCCAAACTCAGCCGAGTCCGGGCTAAAGATTCTCTCGATGCCCATATCAACGAGCAACTCAGGTAGATTCTCAATTTCGGTGCTAATTTTGAACTTAGGTAGCTTTACATTGACCAATTTGAGGCCTTCGTTCTTGTAGACATTGAACAGAGACGTCAACCTTGTCGCTTCCAGTGAGTAAAATATCTCCTTGACCCACGTGTTTTTTTCGGGTAGGAATATCAGCATGGAGTACTGGCCCGCAGACAGAGGAAGCTCGAGCACGTCAGCTTTGATCAGAGGGAAATAAGTAATGTTGAAGTAGCCTATTTGATTCATCATGGCCACTTCACCGATCTTCAAGCCGTTTTTTGAATAAAAGGGCTCCATTCTCGTGTAGGCCGCGTTAAACGGGCTCTTCCAGAAGGAATCGAAGTATTTAGCGTCACTCATTAACAGCACTGTGCTTAGGAAGTCGTCGTAATAAAAGGCTTCGGATATCTTCCCGTTCGTGGCCTGCTCGATCATTTTGTTGGCTTTGATCGCCGACTTCTCTGGACTGTTGAAATCTAATAGTGCAGCTTTAACTCCGTACAACTGTTTTATGCTGCGCAGGAATTTTCGTTTCACATTCATCAGCTTGTCGATAACGATGACATTTGTTTCTTTCGTTTCGAATTTCAGATCTGTTTCGATGTTTCTCATGATCTTCCCTAGTTCGCGTTTGAAACAGTTCCTCATGTGGAACCGGGTGACGCGCCATAGCTCCTTCAGAGTCCGTCCTTTGGCGCCCTCGGAGAGCGCGATCAGCTGCAGCCAGTTGGAGAGAGGCGAAAACACGAAATTGTCATTCGTCTCCTCGGCGACTCTCTGGAGGATTCCGATCGAAAAGTCGTAAGTTGGTCGTTTTAGTAACGCTATCGTTTTGTGGTTTGTGCACGGGTACTTTAGGGCGGTTATCGCTTGGCAGAACGCGAGGAGTATAAGCAGTTTGAGTGCCATGCCTAAGCGCTACGTCGATCTGTGCGCTCGCCACAAGATACGGCGGTCGAGTGCCGGCAAGACATTGAATCCGTGAGCTCCGGCCGATGTTCCGTCCGAGCTATTTTCAACTAAAACGCGTGTTTTAGGCAGCTTTTTTTCGCGTCTAGTTCGAGCAATCACCGGTCGGTGTTCATTAGAACTGTTTACCTCTTGGAATTATATTTTTTTTTCGTGTAGGACAATGAACTTCTGAGCCGAAATAAAAGTTTTGGAATATCGATATTACGTCCTGTTTATAAGTAATTTGAAGGTAATGTAGGTACAGATGAAGAGTGAGGAACCAGATGATTTCTATTTTATTCACTACTAGCTGACCCGGCAGACTTCGTAGTGCCTCAATCGATAAATAAAAGACCCAAAGTTTTGTATAAAATAAACTTAAAACAAATAAAAGGAATCCGTTCGACGGGGGACACATGAAAGGAAAAACAAAATTGTTATTTGTATTTAATTCCGAGCATTTTCATATTTATCTACCTTTTAAACCTTCTCTGGACTTCCACAAATAATTCAAGACCAAAATTAGCCAAATCGGTCCAGCCGTTCTCGAGTTTTAGCGAGACTAACGAACAGCAATTCATTTTTATATATATAGATAGATTTAACCACCTAGAATACGCGGTTAGGTATATACATATAGTTATAATACCGATCTCATAAATAATTGTATAAGTTGTGATTAAACAAGTTCTCCAAAACCGTGTTTGTGATTTTCAGGTCTTTCGGGTTTAGCTCATATATTCCCTTAGGCGGTGCGCGATAGTTGAAATTTTATTACGCTTTTTTTTTTCCTACTCAAGCTGATGGCCTTGAGAAGCTATTTCAGCGTAATCCCAACAAGTAGGTGAGCTCACTGGACTCAAACCTGACGAATTAATTCTTTGTAGGTCTTTTCTCAACAAGTATTTTTGTATGTCTTACAATATGCCATAAAACAGAAACGGCAGTGGGCAGGACATATAGCAAGACGCACAGACAAAAGATGGACATTACAGACAACTATGTGGAAAGGACCAAGAGGAAAACGAAGAAGAGGGTGCCCTAGAAAAAGGTGGATAGAAGATATGAGAGCGATAGCTGGAAGCGATTGGAAAAGGAAAGCCATGGCCAAAGTGGTTTGGAAGAAGCTGGAGGGAGCCTTTACCCGAGAAGGGGTTCCGATCAATGGTAGTGAAGAAAATAACGATAGTGAGTAAAAAGAAAATGAAAGAAATTCAACCCTAGTATATATTAAATCGCATGTAATAACGATATTATTATGGATTGGAAATAAACGGGCTTTATTATTATTATTATTATGTCTTTTCTCTAAATACTCCTAATCAGTTCATCCCATTGTAATGAAACTTGGTGCACTGGTATTTGTCACTGCCGTGAAGAATCTATTGTAACAGAATCAATAATGGACTAGAAGTGGCGTGCCAATTGATTCAAGAAATCGATGTTTGCCTTACAACCAGCGCGATGGTCCACGTAAATCAGTTACACTTGTATACATTCAGAAAAACAAAGTTTCTGGAATCAATGGTTCCAAACTCTTTTTATTTTTCGTTGTTCTTAGATTGGCACAACTGTTTTCCATTTTGGCGCGAAAGTTACATCTGTTATTTCGATTAAATACATTGCTGGTTTTATTTATATGCACAATTCTCGGAGTGGCGCCTTCCATTTGAACCGAAATCAAAAAAACCGTGCCAAAGTCGATCAAAAGTCATGTTGATTGTTTTCTTTGACCATCGCAGTGTTTGTTGTACACTCAAAATTCTTGCCGAAAGGTCAAGCGCTAAAGAAATAATATTATTTAAGAGTTGTGCTGCATTTGATTTGATGAGAGCAAATTCGACGGAAAAGGTCAGCTTTGTGGAATGAAGGTTCTTGGATATTAAACCACGACTGCGCCTTCATGCAAGCTCATCAAAACACTTTTTTTTTCCATCCGATTTCTGTTTTAATCCTAAACTTAAATTACCACTTCGTAGAACCAATTTTAAAACGGTAGAAGACATAAAGCATAATGTGATTAAGTTTTTATTTTATTGCTTACTGGTAGTAGGACCTCTTGTGAGTTTACTGGCGGTAGGACCTCTTGTGAGTTTACTAGTGGTAGGACCTCTTGTGAGTTTACTAGTGGTAGGACCTCTTGTGAGTTTACTAGTGGTAGGACCTCTTGTGAGTCCACACGGGTAGGTACCACCATCCCGCCTATTTCTGTCCTGAAGCAGTAATATGTACGTTTCGGTTTAAAGGGTGGGGCAGCCGCTATAACTATACTGAGACCTTAGAACTCATATCTCCAGGTGGGTGGCGCATTTACGTCGTAGATGTCTATGGGCTCCGGTAACCACTTAACACCAGGTGGGCTGTAAGCTCGTCCACCCATTTAAGAAATAGAAAAAAATAGATTTAGATTAAGATTTAATTAATTAAGATTTAGAAAATTAGATTAAATAGAGATATAAGGTCTCAGTATAGTTACAACGGCTGCCCCACCCTTCAAACCGAAACGCATTACTGCTTCACGGCAGAAATAGGCAGGGCGGTGGTACCTACCCGTGCGGACTCACAAGAATCCTACCACCAGTAAAATGTGTGAATAATGTGATTAGAACAAAGTATTGTCGTTAGTAACAATTTTAAAAAGCCTACGAAATCGCCGGCTCATTCCCTTAGAAATATAGGCACAATCGTATAGTCCGGGAGCCAGTGACAGATTTTCATGACCAAGTCCCTCCCAATCGAAAATTCGTGAAATGCATTAGGGACTTATACTATGAATACTCGCGACCGGCAGCTGCGACTCCGTGGGTGGGACGTGCGGTGGCAGCCTCCCACGCATGAAGAAAAAAAACGTTTTTTCAGTCATTTCCTCCCATTTGAAATTTTGTCAGATTATAGTTAACCTAGTATTTTGAAGGAAAAAAAAAGTCAGCTGGCCATAACATGGTGGATTATACGTCAGCTGGCTGCTTGAACATGAAAAAAAATTATATTTTCAATGATTTCCTCTCAACTAAAAATTTACCCGGTGATCGTTTATATACTACTCTAAATGAAAATTAATGTCAGCTTGCTGTATCTCAGTGGGAAGTTTGTCAGCTGGTACCTTGAAAGGTGTAACGCAGCAGCATCTATCACCTACTGAATCTTATCAGCTGACGACTTTTCCCTTGACTTAAAGCTAGCTGATTTCTTTCATTATTTACTAGAGTATGTTAACAATCCTCTTATAAAATTTTGTCCGAGAGGAAATAACGTTTCTTAAGTTATTTTTTCTTTATATATTANAAGGCCACGAAGAAAACGCAGCCCTGTCTCCCTCTCTTGGCCCGGATACACCGGGCATATCGAGCAGGAAAGCCCAGCTCCTTGAGGGCGTTCGTAACTTCCGCCGCATCGGTGTCGGCAGGGAGACCCCGGACGGCCACCTTCGAGGGTATTTCCTCCGACAACGCATAACAGAACCATTTAATGGTTTTGTCTGCGGCGGAGGCCCTAGAAAGATAGTCCTGGATCACCCTGTACTCCTCCGCCGATGACGGCAGGAAGCGGAAACCGGCGCCGTGGGGTCTGGCAGAAGGAGCCCTACCGAGGCGCTCCCTAATGGCTGCCATATGGCGAGACCAGTTCGGGAGAGCTTCCACCATGATAGGTGGATGCCGGCGGAGCTCCTCCTGGACCCGACCCCTCGGCCTCGGGGGAGGAGGGACTTGGGTTTGGGTGGGTCTGGGGCGAGTACCCACTGGGGGTTGGGATGCGGCTATGGTCGCATAAGATGTTGAGGGNTACCCCCCTTTGGGGGGCCTTCCCCTGTAGCCGCCAAGAGGCAGCCGGGGACATGGCAACCAGCGACCGGAAGGGAGTGCCCTCCGGTTCACTTCTCATCCACGTGGGGTCTACCATTACTGACAGACCCACACGTCTGACCACGGTGTGGCCACGCCGGCGTACCGGTACCCTCCTCTGGAGGGCCTTCCCCTTTAGCAGCCAAAAAGCTGCCGGGGACATGGCCTAGCATTCAAGACGGCTCCAGAAGGGAGCCATCTCCCGCTTCACGCACCCTTTGTCCAGCAAAGGTGGGAAAACGGGAACACGGTGTGCAGTCCTCTTTGTTCACGGCACCCCTGTGCAGACAACGCTGCTCCACGGTATCGGGGTGCACGCTTAAGCCCCACCGCCGCGACAAGGCGAGACCACGTTCGGTGGGGTCTTTATAATATTAGTATAGATTGGAAATAAACGGGCTTTTTTATTATTATTACTAGCGACCCGCCCTCGCTTCGCTTCGGAAACATTAAAACACATGAAACCAAAAAAAATTAAATATTTTTTTTTTTTAAAAGTAGCCTATGTTCATCAGGGACAATGTCGGCTTCTAATGGAAAAAGAATTTTTCAAATCGGTCCAGTAGTTTCGGAGCCTATTCGAAACAAACAAACAAACAAATCTTTCCTCTTTATAATATTAGTATAGATTATGTCTTTTCTCTAAATGTGCCGACCCCACATAGTGGGATAAGGTGGAGAAAAAGAAAGAGATATGTCTTTTCTCTAAATACTCCTAATCAGTTCATGCCATTGTAATGAAACTTGGAGCACTGGTATTTGTCACTGTCGGGAAGATTCTGTCGTAACAGAATCAATAATGGGCTAAAGGTGGCGTACCAATTGATTCAAGAAATCGATGTTTGTCTGGTAACTAGCGTTATGGTCCACATAAATAAACCGTGGGCGGCGGTGAATCACTTACCATCAGGTGACCCGTCTTGCTCGTTTGCCTCTTAGTATTTATAAAAAAAAAAAAAAAAACATTCAGAAAAACAAAGTTTCTGGAATTAATGGTTCCAAATTCATTTTATTTTTCGTTGTTCTTAGATTGGCACAACTGTTTTCCATTTTGGCGCGAAAGTTACATACATCTGTTATTTCAATTAAATACATTGCTGGTTTTATTTATATGCACAATTCTCGGAGTGGCACCTTCCATTTGAACCGATATCGCAAAAACCGTG